AGCACTGGACAAACCACTGGAAAGACACAGAGCACGACAACGGTCATTCTGTTCTCCCAAAACGATCATCTAAGCACAGGAAGTACCTACCGGTTGCTTCACTCCTGATAGGTTCAGAGCTTCTGTGATGTCACTGACCGACATGGCTTGTGGCAAATCCTGTTTGTTGGCAAAGATTAGTACAGGGACTTCAGCCAGTTGGTCCTCGTCCAACTGCAGAAACACAAATTGCTGATTAAAGTCAGAAGCTACAGCAGCCATTGGCCTTTGACCTTTCTCTCAGGTGTCTATAGATCAGAACTTCTGTGTTCATTTTCTACGTCTGCTTCTGTCTCCATGAACCCCAGTCAACCTCAGCGCTCAAGCTGACCCTGGTTCTGCTGGAGGTTTCTTCCCGTTAAAAGGGATTTTTTTCCCTGTCACTAAAAAAATGCTCAGTCTGAGGGATTGCTGAAGAGTCAACATCTCCTGTTTCTTGTAGGGTCGATTAATAGATCTGATGATGTGGATCCATTAAGTGATCTGAGATGGCATGTTGGTAATTGGAGCGATAGAAATTAACTGAATAGAATTCATGTGATCACTTATTTCAAGTTCAGCAAACTCATATTTTAGTAGTTTTTTTTTCTTTCCTATTTTATAACAGAACCAGCCTCCCTGCTGCAAGAAAAGTTGTAATCCCATATCATGATGCTGCCGCCGCCAGAATACCAACAGAATCCAACAGACATCACAGGATTCTGCATAAAGTCTGACCAGACAGGTCTGGATACTTTGGAAACAGGAGTTTGGAAACAAAATCTCAGTCGTGGCCAAAGAGCAAAAACCTTTTCAGAACCTGAGCTTCATCTCTTTACTTTCACTTTACAGCCACAACTAAATCAGCAGTATTATACCAGCTATAAAGAAAATGCTTACATTTCTTAATTAAAACTTATTATTTCATTTTTATTTTATACACAATTTATATTGTGTTCGAAATAAAAAATGTTTTTCCCTATGAAAATGTTATAAACCTGGAGCATTTAAAAAAATAAAAATAAGCTGTTTTTTAAACTATTTGACATTTTTTAGATACAATATCCTTTAGTATATATTGCCAAAGTTACTGGGGTTCATATGCGGACCAGCAGCTGCAGGAACAACACAACCCTGGTACAGAAAACACAGTGACTGGGTAATGTTTCTATTCATGGCCAGTAGGTGGCAGTCTTGTCAACATGAACAAATTAAAGCTTAACTAGGTTTGACTTAAAATCTGTGCCTCATGTAAGGGCTGACAGTGTACAGAAGAGGATTAGGGCCCCTGGAAAAAAATAAAAAGTTAACTGATTTTTAAATTTTATTATAGGTTAATACGGGAAAAACGTCCGAATTCTGACTTTTTTCTCAGAATTCTGACTTTAATCTGAGAATTTTGGATCTTAATGTTGATGGGCACCATGAAGGTAGAGATGTGGAGCACTCAGCTTCACTGACAGAGATGTGAGTTGTTTGGGAAGGGCCAGTGACACATTGGTGGAAAATTATGGAATTAGGAAACTCTTTACGTGCCCGAGAGGTCCCATCATTAATGGAGGAGCAGAAGGTCATTAAAACAAGAGAGCTAGTCTCTAAAACAGACATGGCTACGGCTTGATGCTAACATGTTTGTTAGCTGT